TTTTCCCGGTGGGATAACGGGATCCCCTTGCTGGGGGAACAGGGGTGCGCTAGGATGTCGGCGGGGTGCTGGCCGATGAGCCCTGGGGGGCTGTCCCCTGGGTGTGGGGACAGCCAGCTGCGTTCACAGGCTTTCACAGTTACTGCGGTGCTTTCTGGGCTAAAAAAGCCTTCTTTGTTTCCCCAAAAAGCGCCAGCGCGAAGGGCAGGACCCCACTCCTTTTTCCTGCTTGTCCCGAGGGGTTTGAGCACAGCCACGCAAGGACTGGCATGAGGCCAGCAGGGCTGCTGGTGGTCCCTGGGGTGCGGGGTGCTGCTCTCTGACGGCTCCTTGGGTCCCCCCTTTGTCCCACAGCCCGAGCGCGACTCGCGGCCCAGCAGATCCCCCAGGAGATCCTCGGGAACGCGGAGCTGCGGGAGGCGGTGGAGGCCCTGCCCCCCAACTACAACTTCGAGATCCCCAAGACCATCTGGCGGATCCGGCAGGCTCAGGCCAGGAAGGGTGAGCGCTGAGCCGGGGGATGAGCGGCTTTGGGGCTGGTTTGTGCTGCTGAGCCCCCCCCGTGGGGCAGGGGTGGGGCCGAGCTGCTGCTGTGCCCCCGGTGTGTTTAGGCCCTGTCTTGGGGGGCTCTCCTCCTCTCGAGGGAGGTTAATAGATCTGTATCTCTGGATTTTAATCACATTGGACAGGACAGGTTGAGCTGCGCGGACCTGTCAGCCTGGAGATGTGTCTGGGATGCCGGCCAGGTCCCTGCTGTGCTCCTTTTGCCTCTCTTCTCTCTCCCTGCACTTTCCTGACACGCTGCTGGGGCTGGGAAGGGGGAGCCCCCCAACACCGGGCACAGGGGAGGGCTGGCAGGGAGCTGGGCCGTGCTGCTCTCGGGTCTGAACCTTCCTCAGAGGGCTGTGTCGCCCCAGAGGAGCGGGGGATGATTGTGGAGGCTTCAGGAGTGATGCCAGGGCTTTCCCTGCACAGCCTGTGCATCCCACTGAGCAATATGTGATCAACTATGGGGAGCAGGACACGGAGCCTCCCCCTCCATCCCCGGCTGTCACCAGCGTCCCCAGCCCGACTTCACGTGCAGACAGGGGCTGCTCCTGGGGCTGCGTGGCAGAGTCACATTTGAAATGCTTTGTATCCACCTGGGAATGTCTCTGCCTGCTGCCACGGAGCTGGCAGGGCTGGCGGGTGTCACGGGGGATGTTCTGGAAGCTGAGCTGCTGCTGGCTGCGGTGCCTGGAGGGTGTGGGGCTGTCCGGCCCATCCCGGCTGTGCTGTGGGAGTCAGGGCTGGACGTGTCCCGGTGGGGACACGGCGAAGCCGCCCAGCCGTGCTGCTCTGGCTTTCCTCGCTGTGTTTTGCTGCTTGGCACCTCCTAATTAAATGTAAATATGCGGCTGGGATTTAGGCTTCCGAGCTGGGAGCGGAGCCCATCAGCCAGCCAGCCGTGCTGGGATTTAAAAATCCGCGTGTGCACAGACCAGCCAGGGGCTCGTTGCTGGGGGAACGCAGCCTCCCACAGGGCTGCAGCCAGCCCTGCCTGTGCCCTGCCTGCTGGGGGGTTTGGGGGGGTTGGGGAGCACCCCCTTTCTCCATTGTGCTGTGATGGTGGAGAGCGACCCAGCTGCCTCCTGGCACCCCCCTGTTTGCAGATCTGGGGTGGAGGACAGCCCCAAATGGGCCAAAAGGGTCTCAAATGGGCTGGGAGATGCTGGGACATGGAGCCCTCGTCCCTGCCAGGTCAGGCAAGCGTTGGCAGAGCACGTCCCCATCCTTGGGCCCTGCAAGTTGGAACAGGGTGGGATCAGCCTGATTTGAGCCAGGCCTTTACACAGCTCCACACTTGCCAGCAGGCTGGGCCTGGCAGCACAGGGATGGAGGGGAATCTGGAGAGAGTGTTTGGATAGATAGCATGGAAGCTGGGATATCTTAGTGGGATTGGGAGGTGAAACAACAATGGGATTAATGGGGCCTCCTCCATTCACTTCCTCCATCATTCCTCCCCACCACCCCATGGGGGGCTCCTGGCTGGACCCCAGGCACTGGGCAGTCCGCTGGCCTTTGGAGGAAGAGGGATTGTTCTGAGCTGTGAGGAGGGAACAAATGAGGAAACATAATTTGTTGTTGAATAAATTCCTGCAAGGCACAATGCTGCGGCTGTTGCTGGCCACCCTCCTGAAATGGAGAGAGAAACTGGGAGGGGGATGTGGAGAAGGGCAGTGAAAGATGATCAAGGGTTTGGAGCAGCTTCTGTATAAGGAGAGATTAAATAGATTTAGATCCTTTAGCTGGAAAAGAGGTGAACGAAGGGGGATATGATAGGGATGTAGAATTGTGAATGTTGTGGAGAGGCTGAGCAGGGGATAATTATTCGCTCTTTCTTGTACCAGGAGAACCAGGGGCACACGTTTACATTATTAGGAACAGGTTTAAAATAAACAGAAGAGAGTACCTTTTGCTGTGCAGCACATAATTAAAATCTGGAAGTCATTACTGCGGGAAGCAGGACAGACCAGCAGTGTCAGCGGGTTCAGAGAGGGATGAGGTGTGTGCACAGAGTGGATATGGCCCAAGGCAGGACAGTCTGCCCCCGAGCTGCCAGAGCCACCTGGATTTTTGGCCAACACCTGGCTAGTTTGGGGAGGATCGTTTGTGGCTGCAGCTTGAGCTGGTCCCCACTTCAGGATGTCCCTTCCAGTCCCTCCTAACCCCGTGGCTGTTTCTCTTCCCAGTGGCCCTGCAGATGCCAGAAGGGCTCCTCATGTTTGCCTGCACCATCGCTGACATCATTGAGCGGTAAGACCGTGGCCTTTCCCTGCTTCCCTGCGGGTCTGGGGCTGCTGAGGGCATGGGGGCTGTTGCTGGGGATGGGTTGGCCACTGAGCAGGATGAGGCCCAGGGCTATGGATGAGAGGGTGCCATGTCTGCCTTTGTGGGGCCACAACCTGGCTGGGCACAGCTGGGCAACCCTGAGGCAGGTCACAGGGACCTGCTGCCAGCCCTGGGGACAGGGACCGGCACGGTGCCAGCCCAACCCTCGCTGCTTGGCTTCTCCTCCCCTCTCCTCTGTGCTATAGGAGCTGCTGACAGGCTCAGCATGTCAGGGCCCCAGGGGGGTGCTGGAGCCGGGAGCAGCCGTGTCAACAAGCGGCTGCTGCCAGCCGGGTGCCCGCACGCTCACCAGGACAGTGCGGCCAGGGGAGCGGAGCCGCCGCTGCGGCACAGACCCATCCTCCTCTCCCCTCGTCCTGCCCAGCACCGGGATGTGCAGGGGCAGCCTCGCTGTGCCTGGGGAGGCGTGAGGCCACGGTGATGGCGTGGAAGGGCTCACTCCTGCTGGGTGACCCCTTGGCCACGGCTCCTCTCTTGATTTTCCTGTGCCGCTTGAGAGGCGAGGCTGAGGCACTGGAGAGAGGAGCTGGGCAGTGCAGTGACAGTGGATGCAGGCACCTTGCAGAAATTGGCCATGATCTCTTTCCTGCTGAGCGCCTCTTCCTTCCTCCCCACCCACCGCAGCCCCTCTCTGTTTTAGCACAATGAATTAGCGCTAATAGCACTTCGTGTCTCGTCTGCCATCGGGGTCGTGGCACTCATTAGCAGCTGCCTTGCCGAGGCCAGCAGCCTCGCCTCCCCGCCGAGCCGAGGCGAGCTGCCGCTGCTGTGCTGGGTGGGAAGGCAGCCGTGCCCGTGGGCTTTGTCCCTGCTCTGCCATCCCCTCCCCTGCGGGGATGGCGGCAGCCCCACACTCGGTGGGAAGGTGGGAGCGGGCAGGGGACGGGCGCGGAGGGCAGGGGATGGGTGTGAGCGTGGGCAGCAACGCGTGGGTTTGTCCCTTTAAGTGGAGCTGCCTCCTCTCCAGCTTTGGCACCCAGCCGCTTTCATGTCTCCGACTTCAAAGGCAGCGGATTAAGGGGCTCTTTTATCTGAATGAAACCTTAAGCCCCACTTCCCGGTGGATGCTGGATTCCAGGGTGCTGAATGCCAGGGTGCCCATGGATTCTGGGGTGCTGGCATCCTTGCTGGACTCACCCTCTTTGCTGGGGGTGCTCCACAGGGCTGGTGAGGGGTGCTGCATGGGTGGAGGTGCCCAGCCTAGGGAAGGGATGTGGGGGCACTGATGGGATGGTGTTTGGATGTGGGATGGCTTCAAGGCTGAGCAGGAGGGCTGTATCCTTCCCTCACTGCCACCGTGTACCACCTGGAGACATGCCACTGCCACTCCCTTACTGGGAGCACTGGGTGCCATCCGTGCCCCTGCCTGGGGATGTGGCTGTGAGCAGCACTGCCAGCCAGAGAATTGTGGCTGTGGGCAGGAGTGAGCCCCAGCCCTGTGTCCGCTCCTTTGGGGACACACTTGGGGACACACTGGGGACCTGGTTACGTTGCTGGAGGTGAGGTGTGAATCGGCAGGTGGCCTCGTTAGTTTCTGCCTCTTCCTGCTATTAATATTCATCGCCAGCATTAATGTGGAATCGCAGCTCGCCGCCTGCTCCTGCTGGCCCTCCTCACCCAGTGCTGGGGCCGGATGAGCCTCCGACGTGACAGGAATGGCTGCAGCTGTGTGCTCTGGCTGCCGTGGCCAGGCTGGGGACAGGGGCTTGTGGTGCCATCAGCCCTGCGCTAGTGTCCCCTTCCTCCTGGTGACAGAGAGGATGTGAGGGCTGAGCGTGACAGGAATACCTGTGTGCCCCCGGGGGGCATTGCTCAGTGAGCAGCCCCTTTCCCCAGCCCATGCCCACAGCCTCCTGCCTCGTCCTTGCTGGTGAGAGTTTGGGGAAGGAGTTCCCCCTCCCCTGCATTCTCTGCTGCTGGCTGCAGAGCCATGCCCAGGGCTGGTGCCCTGGGGTGACAGTGGCCACCCCTGTGTGTTTCAGTTGAGCTGGAGCCGTGTCAGCTGCCACTCAGACGGAATATTTATCCTTTCTGCTGGAGCTGCCTTTTAATAGAATATTTGTGCCGTGGCCTGGTGGTGCTGGGGAGAGCCGAGAGCGGGGATGTGGCTCACTCCCCCGCATCACAGCCGGCTCCAAGAGGACACGGTGCTTGCTGTGCGTCTGTCTGTCCCCGTGCAGTGGGATGGCAGTGTCACCACGTCCCTCACGGCCATGTGGGAGTGAGCAGGCCCCCGGGGAGCTCCGTGGAGTAAAGAGGGGAGGGGGCGGCCAGGTGGGGCCTGTCTGAGTTTCCCAGCATCGCACTGGCGCTTGCCAAGCCCCGAGGGGCTGCAGGGATGAAGATGTAGCCGAAGCATCGCAGCCACCGCTGGAAAGGCCGGTGGGGTTCTTAGCCTGGAGCTTTTGAAATCAAGAGCAGTCTCGGAGCACTGACCAGTGTGAGGCCAGTTAATTACCCTTAATAGGTTTGTCATTGTCAGAGATGTGCCGGGGCAAGCGGCCGGGCTGCGGGGGGGGGCGGTGGGGCCGGGGTCTGCCCGCTGCCGGTGCCACATCACGACGCTCCCGCGGCACCTTCCAAATTGGCTCCATTTGTCACGGCTGATGTCATTTGGCAGAGGGGAACTCGTGCTGGGGGGTGGCAGTGTGGAGAGCCGCGTGGGGGGAGCTCGGACCACAGCTCAGGGAGGGGCAGCCCCCCAGCCCACCCGCTGTCGTGCCGGGGAGGTGGCAGTCGTGTCCCCCTGTGCCACCAGCTTGCAGCTGGGGGCTGTGCAGCCAGGAGCGGACCCCCACTCCCCTCCCTGGTGGGGCTGGAGCAGACGGATCAGCTGGGCTCTCAGCTGGGCTTTTGATTCCGTGTTAATAAAGTCGGCTGTCAGGCTTCACAGCTGCTAATCCCTCTGTCTTCCTGTGCCACACCGGGGTGAGAGGCTCCTGCTAATCAGCCAGGGCTTGGTGGCGGGGATGGGCAGTGGCAGAGGGGCACAGGAGTGTCCTGATGCCCACACAGGCTGCCCTGCTGCAGCTTTAAACACCTCCCCACTCCCAATGGCTTTTGAAGATCCATGAGAGGCGGTGCTGGAGGGGTACAGACCATCCTCGTCTTATCCTGGTGACTCAGGAGCATATGGGGACATCTTGGAGTGACCTCGAGTCCTGGTTGAGCAATAAAGAGTTAAACATCTGTGTGCACAACCCAACAGCTGTGGCAGAGCTTGAAATGTCCCACTATGGCTGACATAAAACAGGTCCTGATGGCTGGTGTGCCCCACAGTCCCCGGTGCCATGGCTGGTGTGCCCAGCAGGTTCCCAGTGCCAGCAGGCACCAGGTCCCTTGGCCAGGCAGGTCTGCCATGTGGCACTGAGCAGTGTGGTACTGAATGCTGTGATGAAGCTGGCAGCATCACCAGGGGGTCCCAAAAGGCCACCCTGGGACACTGACACAGATCAGGATGTGGCCTCAGGTGCACAGTGCCATGGCTCTGCCAGCCAGCGCTGCCTTCCCTTCTTCCCTCTTCCTTTCATGCACAACCTGGAGGCGCTGGCAGCGGGTGCACACTGTGCAGGGGAATTTAATCACTGTCATTAACCACACAACAGCATCATTAGGAGGAATGAAGTTCTCACTTCATTGGAGATGTTCAAAACCTTCTACCCGGGTGGTGGCTGCGCCGGGGGGATTTGGCTGGGGGAATGCGTGGGGTCTATAGGGCTGTCACCTTCCAGGGCTGGGATGTGCCAGCACAGGTGTGGTGCCCACCACCAGGTGCCCCATGCCACCTCCTTGTGTCCCACAGAGCTCTGTGATGTGACCATTGTGAACAGGGGACAGGCACCATCCAGACACAGGATGGTCATGGTGGCTTTACAACCAACGTGCATTGGCCCTTGGTTTGTCTTTTTGTGGGGTTTTTCTGCTGCTATGGGACCAGCAAAGCAGGGGTGCCCTGGGACATGCCCCTTGAGAGGTGTTTGCCCTGCCACCTATAGTGAGGACAGAGTAGGAAGTGCCCTTAGGGGAGGGGACCCAGCTGGAGATGGTTCCTCCTGGGGGGATGTGGGGACACCCACCTCTCCCCACTGTGCCCCGCTTGCAGAAGCTCTGTGAGGTCCCATCACTGCCCAGCTGCAGCTGGGCTCTTCCAGCACCAATTGCAATAAAATAGCAAACTCATTATTTTAATTACGTGCAGCCTTCCTGTGCTAATGAAGTTGGGAGTCTGGTAATGGGGCTTGGTGATGGGCTTCTCCGCTAATTAAGTGCACTGTTCCCAGCCAGGGCTGGGCTCAGCCCCCACAGCCCAGGACAGCAGCACCCACAGGTGTCCTGGGACATGCTGGGCTTGGGCACAGGGCAGGCAGTGGGTGTGGAGTTTGTGGGGTGATCATGGGGTGCTTGTGGGGTATTTGAAGGGCCACATGCAGGTGAGGCAGGGGGCAGGCTGCACCATGTCCCTGTTCCCAGCACAGCATGCAGGCACCCTGGCATCATCCCAGTGTTGTCTCCATCCTCCCATAGCACAGGGGTCCTGGCCACTCTCAGCCAATCCAGTCCCCTCAATCCCCTCCCCATCAAGGGCTGGTCTGAGGACTCGTCCCTGCTGGGGAGAGCAGCTCTGCCTCATGGCTTGAGGACCAGCACTGTATCATTCACACTCTGCCAAGGGACCTCGCGCTCCTGCCAGCAGCAAATGCTCTCATTCATTTTTTGAGGGGCTGGGATAAATCAGGGCTGCTCCAACCAAGTGCCTGTGCTCAGGTGACAGGACTGGCTACCCCGTGCTTGGAGACTTGCAGGCCCCATGTGTGCATGTCTCTGACCCCGTGTTTTCAGCCCCAAAACTTGTCCCTGGATTGCTGCTGCCTCCATCCTGCGCTGGGGAGCAGAGCTGGGAGGGCCTGGGGGTCCCAGCTGGGATTGGGGCCGGGACCTGGCCCGCCCTGGAGCACATCCTGCCAGTGCTGAGCATGGGGCTTTATAAATGGGATTTTGGGAGCCATCTGTTTAAAGGAGCAGATAATGAATTAGGGGGAGATGAGAAAAATGCTAAGGCCAGGCGGTTTTTCAGAATGAGCCGGGGTTTGCGGGATGTAAAAGATGAATAACCTCCCCACGTGTTCAATATTCATGAGCTCCCAGCTGTAAGGAGCGTCTCAGCACTGGGTGGGGACATCCCTGTCACCACTGCCAGCACGCTGCTGGGACCCATCCGTGGCTGTGACAACTTCCAGGGACACAAAACACAAGAACGCTGCCGTGGCTGCCCCTTGCCTGCGTCCTGGTCTGGGCTGGCTGGCAAGCAGCTCCGCAGCCCGCATCGGAGGCAGGTGGCTGCTAATTGACATTTCCTTCCTCTGTAGTTTGATGAAAGACTCTGGCGACACCGAACTGATTAAAACATCAAGGGGAGGCCCTGGCGCTTGCCTTTGATTTGTCTCGGGAGATGATTACGGCTCCACTGGATTGTCCAGCCCAGCCGGAGCGGGTGATCCCGGTCCATGCCATCCTGGAGCCCCTCCTGCAGCACCACCAGGCTCCTGGCCTTGCCAGCACCGTTGGGTTCCCTCCTCACCAGGCACCATCCCGTGGCCTCTTTGCTCACCTGTGACTCCACTCCCTGAAGCCAGAGGAGGAATCTTGCTCATGGCTCAGCCTCCTCTCCCTGCCCAGCTGCAGCCCCACAGGGCCACGGGCACTTCTGCCCTCCTCCTTCCACCGTTGCTATTTCACTTTCTTGCTCTTCACCCCCAGGGACTTTCTCTGGGGTTTGGGCCAATTTGCATACATTTTAATCTATAAAAAATTAAGCGGCGCTGGCTGCCGCTCTGAGTCAGACCTCCCCATCCTGAATCTTAAGGAGCTGAATAATTTTCCACTTTTGCTGAGATGTGTGGAGTCTGATTCATGTTCATCTCATCACCTCTCATTAGAGGAGGGGGCTGGGGGCTTGGAAGGGTGGGAAGAGCCTTCTCGAACCTTCACTGGTAGCCCCCAGCCCCATAGTGTGGCCACGCGGGCAGCGGAGGAGCCATCCTCGCATCCAGGCCACGCTGGCCGTGAGGAATCGCAGGATTTGGGTGCTGGCAGGATCCACCCCATCTTCTGACGCTCTCCAGCTGCATCCCCAACCCTGGTGGAGTGGCAGCTGCCCAGGCAGGACTGGGGAGGTGAGGATGGCTGTGTCCCCTCCTCAGGGGTGCTGCAGCATTGCTGCTCCCCTGTCCCCTCCCCGGGCGCTGGCGGATGGGCCGGAGCTGTTAATATTCAGCACGCTCCGCCATTTCTCCACCTTCTGCCATCTGCCCAGCTCTGCCCACCATTTCTATTCTTGCCGCCGACGTAACGTTCCCTGCCTGGCGCTTGTGGGGGGCGCGGGACCCTGGCCCCCAGCCAGCCATGGGTGCTGCAGGGGGTGACGCTGTGCCAGGGCCTCCTCCTTCCCTGGTCCCCTGTGCCAGCAGCAGGGGGGACCCCGCTGGCACCGAGCTACAGCGGGCCTCAAGTAAATAAGGAATTAGCATCTGGTTTAAGCAGCCCCTCCAGGCACGGGGCTTTGTCATGGCAATACCTGCTCTCATCCTGCTTCGGCAGCTCCCTGGGAAGGCAGCCAAGCTAATAATCCCCCAAAATGGTGCAATAAATACCCACAAAGATGGTGCCTCTAAATCATGCCAGAGTCCTGGCTTTGCTGCTCGGTGCTGGTGTGTGCCCCTTCACCCACAGGCTGGCAGGTGCCAAGTGGGTTTGGACTGAAGCACTGAGGGTAGGGGACAGCACCAGTGGTGGTTTGGCACTTTCCCTTGCCAAGTGCCACTCAAGCACCAGCTCTTCTGGAGGTCACCCAGCTTGCCCAAACCGGCATGCAGGGGTGGCACAGCCAGGTGCAGATTGGATTCACCGGCTCACACAGTGCCCAGGTATGGGATGATGATGGCTTGGCTGGCACCGCAGGGGATTCCAGGGCACCTCTTCTGCCCATCCTGGTGACTCCAGTGCCCAGGGCTGTCTGGTGGAAGCAGTGGCACCACGCTGTGCCGGGTCTCCCTCTGCTGCTCTCCCTGCTGGAGCATTAGGAATCTGGCAGCGTATTGTTTGATGAGTGGATAATCCGCTGAATTGCAAACAGCTTTACCCAATTGAAGAGGCGGATTACCGCTCTCCAGCTTAATCATGTTGACATCTCGGAGAGTAGCCAGTGCTTGTCCTCTTCAGCGCGTGGCTCGGTGGCAGCGCGGGGTCCCCGCATAGTGACACGCCACGAGGCTGGGGGGCAGAGCCTGGGCTGTGGTGACGCAGCCGTGGCCCTCAGTGCTGTGCCTTCCCACAGATTCACGGATGCAGAGGCGGTGGTGATGGGTGACGTGACCTACGGCGCCTGCTGCGTGGACGACTACACGGCCCGGGCCCTGGGCGCTGACTTCCTGGTGCACTACGGCCACAGTTGCCTAAGTAGGTGCCACTGAGTCCCGGGGTGCTGCTGGGGTGGCCGTGTGGGTGGGTGGGTGCACACTGTGGAGGCTATGCCGCTGCCACCGCGCCACGCCGAGCAACTCCACACCCCTCTCGACGCCAGCTCGGAGACTTAGTGCCAAAACTAATCCCTTCCCAAAGGGCTTTCTGATCTCCAGCTTCAGCTGCTGGCTTTGGATGGGGCCAGGCTGGCTGGATGGCTGCTCACAGGCAGGATTTTGGGCGCAGCAAGGCGTGCTCATCCTGCTCGGCTGCTGCAGCAGCGCACGGATCCAGCCTTGTTGTCCCCAAGAGCAGAGCAGCAAGGCCATGGCTTGGCAGGACCCCGCTGGCCCGGGAGCTGCCAGCAGGGATGAGGCTGCTCTTGCCCCTCACCTGGCCTCTGTGGAGTGATGAGGAAGGGAATGATGGCAGAGGAGAGCAAGGGCCTGGGGGTCCCGCTCGCCCCGGGGCCGGGAAAGGCGGCTTTGCGGGTACAGTGCAGGCTGGGCGGGGAAGGGAGGAGGAGGCTGTGTGCTCCCCAGGCGGACAGTACTCTGGATCCAGTTGCCATGGAAACTGCGCTGCTGTCCCAGATGCTGCTAACTTTGAAGTCCACCCAGGATGGAATCAGCCCAAAAATAACAATAAGACGCTCTGGGTTTTAAGGTGGATCTGCAGAATTGCCATAGTGAATAGGAGGTGTGTGCATCCCTGCTGCCGCCACGCTCCCAGCACCTGGCAGCCCTCCTGGACGTTTATGGGGTCCTATAAACGGGTTTGAAGAATTGCATCGGGCTCTGTATGAAATACTGACTCCCCAGTTGAGAACTCTGTCCTGAAAGCCACGTCAGTGTGAGCATTCGTGGTGATAAATATGTGTGCTAGGTGCTTTGTTATGGAGGGAGGGTTATGGGCACCACTGGAACAGGGAGTATAAAACTCCTGGTTTGTAGCCTGCTGCTCATGAATGAACAGCGGGAAGGGGAGGAAGGAGCCGTATCCATCAGGCTGCTCCAGGGAATGGGAGTCACATCAGCTGGAGCTGCTCCCTGCAGGGACAGGCAGGCACTGCCAGGCTGACTGTCACCAGCCCCGCTGCCATCTGCTGCCTGTGGCCTTGTTGCCCTTGCCTGCTCTGGGTTGGGTGGGTCACAGGGCACCCTGGGTTACCCACGGGCTGCTGTGAGGATGCTGGGCTTCTTTTGAGCTGTCCACGGTGGTCCTGTCACCTGGGTGGCCAGTGGTGAGGCACACATATGCTTCTTGCTCCTTCCCAGCCCCACGTGCCCCACAGGAGGGAGTAATTTGCACTTAATTGTGATCAGGGAAGAGCACCAAAATGGGAAGTGAACGGGGAGCTGCAGATCGATGTGGACTCTGTGTACTTTAATTATTCACTTAATCGTGGTGACAAAGGCTTCTTAGCACCAGGGGTAATTAGATTTGTGTTCATTGATTCCCCAGGCTGCCATTATCTGGAGAGAAAGGAGCGGGTGCTCTCCGTGGCTCACATCTGTACCCCCTGCCCTGGGTGCCAGCACAAGGGAGGGGTGGCACAGCCCACCCTGCCTGTGCCAGGGCAGTTTGGGACACAGGGAGTCTCACCAACATGCTTTATTCCCCAGCTGCAGGCAGCAACAGCTTGGGGCTCACTGGAGCCCTGGGTGTACCCCACACTCAGACCCTGTCTCTTCCCATCACCAGTTCCCATCGACTCCACACAGGGGCTGAAGATGCTCTATGTGTTTGTGGACATAAAGATCGATGCATCCCATTTTCTTGAGACCATTCGCTTCAACTTCGCGGCGGGCACCTCCCTGGCCCTGGTCAGCACCATCCAGTTCGTCTCCACGGTGCAGGTGAGACGGAAATCCCTGGCTTTTGTCTCCTCCTGAGTTTTCCTCTGGCTCAGCCCTTCTCCATCGCACCTTGTGCTGGGAGCAGCTGCCCCGGAGTGCTGGTGGAGCTGGTTCCCCTCTGACGAGTCGCTGCAGTAACGTGCCGCTGCCATAATGTTGATCAAGTACTTTATAATAACTCTGATCAATGTTTCATGGCGGCACCCCTCCCCAGCTCCCCCGGGAGCTGCTCTGGAAATGTCAGGGCAGGCGGTGGAGCACTTGGCATTTTGATGCAGTGCCGGCAGCGGCCGGGGAAGCTCCGGCGGGTCTGTGTGTCTGGCCCTGAACGGCCGGCTGGGCAGGGCGGGAGGAGATGAATGGGCCTCTTGAGCCGTGTCTATCTAAACACGAGGCTATCCAAGCGTTAAGCCTTTTCCCTTGTCTTTTAATTGATACGTTTGTTGAGCCTCGCTGAGCATCCCGGCTGTGCGGGGCTGTTCCTGGTGCCACCCCGAGCAGGCTGGTTCTCCCCCACTGGGTCACAACAGCTGGCACTGCCACAACTGGGGTGTCCCCAAGGGTCCTCAGCCACCCTTTGTGCCATGGCCTGTCCCTGCTGACCCCACATCTCCCACAGGCAGTGTCACAGGAGCTGCGCTCCCAGTACAAGGTGTGTGTGCCCCAGTGTAAGCCGCTGTCCCCAGGAGAGATCCTGGGCTGTACGTCACCCCGGCTTGCTCAGGACACGGATGCCATTGTGTAAGTACCCGGGGTCCTTCACCACCCTCCTGCCTGGCCCAGACTTCCCATCCTTCCTACAAATTTTGTGCAATTTTGGAGGGTGGTGAGGGACATCCACAGGCTGGGATGGGCCCCCTTCAGCTCCTCACGCTGCTTTAAGTGGCGTGTGCTTGTAGCACAGAGGAAATAATTGAGTCGTATATCAGAATAGATAATAGATGGAAGGGCGGGTGGATAATTGGAAAAGACAAATGGCCGGGGCCCAACATCACAGCAACATTAATTTTATTTAAGGACAGCAAATTAGAGGGAGCACTTCGCTTCCTATCACCTAATTATTTTAGGTAATGGAAATGCTTAATGTACTGTGAATACAGTGTGCTGCAGAATAAATAAATACAAGGACCCCACCCTTGGGGGGAGCCGAGGAGCCCAGGTGTGGGTTTGGGCCCTGCTGAGCTACTTCTTGCCCACACTTCTTGCCCAACAGCAATGGTGCCTTTCCAGGCACAGCCAGGCAGGGAGCTGGGCTCCCAGATTGCTGGGCATAGGGTCAGTGGGAGCTCTGGATTCATCCTGAGCCACTTTCCATCTCTCCAAGGACATCAGGAGCAGGCAGGGGCAGCCAGGCTGGCACTGCACTGCTGACAGTGGGTCCTTTCAGCTGGCAGAGGAGCGGCAGTGCGGTACCAACCCGCGCAGGTGCACTCGGCCTTACCTGCGTCCTCCCTGCGTTATTATTTTCTTCTTTGCACCGTCTCTGGGGCTAACTTTTGCAGACAAATTAGCTTTGATCTCCCAAAATGTCATTCTCCAATTAAGGGCAAAATCTAGTCAAGTTTTACGTCTGAATTCATTTTCCAAGCCCTCACTCCATTAGGGCAGCTGAATGAAAGGCTTTGAAATGTAATTGCTGACTGGAAATCCGATTAGAAATGGAAGCAGCAATGTCTAGAACCAGCCATTGAGATGGAGCAGCTCCCAGCCACCCCGTGCTGGTGTGAGCACCCCTCCTTGCTCTGGGCATGGCTGCCTCTCCAACCCTGCCATGCCAGGGAGCCCTGGCTGTGCCTGCTGCCCCTGGGTCCCAGCACAGGAGCTTGGATTCCTGGTATCTCCAGTGTCCTGCAGTTTGGGAAAACAGTGGACAGGTGGATGGGTTGCTTGCTGCTGTTTCCCAGTGCCATAGCTCTCCCTCCCCTCTCGGCAGGTATTTGGGCGATGGGCGCTTCCACCTGGAGTCCATCATGATTGCCAACCCCGGGATACCTGCATACAGGTACACACACCCACCCCAATCCCATGGCGGGGAGCACCCATCTGTCCCCCTGTGCACCCCAGGAACACCCTAGGGCTGGGCAGGTAGCTGTCAGCAGCAGGCAGGGGCAGGTGAGAGGCCATGGGGTGGGTGAGGAGGTGCTCTGGGGGAGATGAACACCAGCCATTTACTCCGGCTGAATATAAACATTTTGACAAGTACCTGAGAAAGCTCGTGGAGGTGCAGCCATTAAAGCCCGGCTGCTGCAGGCAGAGGCCATAAAGCGCGATGATGAGGCCGCTGAAAGCAGATGAAATATCAGGAGTGAAAGGCTGGGCCCATTTGGTGGAATCTGAATTTCCTAGTAGGTCGTTTGTTACGAGCGGGAGGCGCACGTCAGGTTTATGGCACTGGTGAAGCTGCCGAAACCCGAGTGGGATTTGATTAAAATTCTCCTCGTCAAACAAAGCAACAAATCAAAGAATTCTTTATAATTGATGAGCCAGGGTGGGGGGGAGCTGAGTGTGAAGCCGAGAACGGAGCCGAGGCTGTGCTGGGTGTTGGGGTGCTGTGGTGGGACACTTGTCTCTATCCTTAAGGAACCGGCTGGGTCCTACATCAGCCAGGAGGACAGATGCTGTGGGAGGCAATTAGTGCTAATGAGGGACGGGCATCACTGGGAGGAGGGCAGGTGATGGAGCACGTGTGAGCCTGGCTGTGCTTTGCAGGTACGATCCCTACAGCAAAGTGTTCTCGCAGGAGCACTACAGCCACGAGCGCATGCACCGCGCCCGGCAGGACGCCATCCGCACTGCCACCAGTGCCCGCTGCTGGGGACTCATCCTGGGCACGCTGGGCCGCCAGGGCTCCCCCAGCATCCTACAGGTACCAGCCTTGTCCCCACTGTCCCTACCGGGCAGCAGGCGCTGCTGTTGGGTGGGGGGAAGCACTGATGGCGATGGCACCATCGCTGTCCTCGCTGCCAGGGCGAGGGTGGATGTGGCACTGCTGGTGGCCCATCAGTGGCCACTGGCCCGGTCTGCACGGGCAATTAGCAGCAGATGAGGGAGGCTGGACAAGGACTCATTAAACCCGTTCCTGGGGAGAGCTGGCCAGTCTCGGAGAACCCCCCTCCGCCCAGGCAGCTCGGCAATTAATTGGCTGGGTTTGTTTTAATTGGATGAACTTCCGATCAGGTTGAGCATCCCTGCTCAGCTGCTGTGCTGGTGCTTTCTGCACCCTGGCTGGGTGAGGGGAGCAGGACAGCAGAGTTCTGCCCCCTGAGTGTGGTGGTCGTGCTCACACCCAGAAATTCTGGGGTAGCCACAGGTGAGGTTTGAGGCAGTGCAGGGACCAGGGGGCAGAGCAGGGCAGCAAGGTCCCAGCAGCTGCTCTTCCACAGTGGGCAGGACACAGGCACGGCCAAGGCTGGCAGGGCAGGGGGCGATTAGTGCCAGCTCTGCAGGACAAGGACATCTCTGGCCCCTCTCCTCCTCCTGAAAGCTGTGGCTGCAGCCAGCCCATGACAGGCGGGTGTCCCAGGGCAGGCAGCCGCTAACGAGAACAGATTGTTGTCATTGAGCAGTAATTACTTCATTAGGCTGAGGCACGTGCTGGGGAGAGCTGGGCCAAGCCAGAGCTATGGCCGCAGTCTGGCCTATGACTGCCAGGGGGATGGGGCTGTGGGGCCGAACTGGGACCCACAGAGGGTCTCATAGCCAGGAAGGGCCTGTGGGCAGGGCTTGGGGGGCTTGCTGGGGGACCCTAACCCTGCTGGGTGCCTTTTTCCCCTGCAGCACCTGGAGCTGCGTCTCCGTGCCCTGGGCCGGCCCTATGTGCGGGTGCTGCTGTCTGAGATCTTCCCCAGCAAGTTAAAGCTCTTCCCAGAGGTGGATGTGTGAGTGCTGCTGACCCCCCTCCAGCCTCAGGGTGTCCCAACCCTGTGCAATTCCTGCTTGAAGCTGTCCCTGGCACATCTGTCACTGTGCAGGGAAGGGGCATGGCTGTCCTTGGCAGGGTGGTGCTGGCAGAGTAAGGACCTTCTGGGGTTCTGCTGAGGGACTTCACTGTGGCTTGTTCTTCCCAAAACACTCATCCCCATTGTGACATTTCCCTTCCAGGTGGGTGCAGGTGGCCTGTCCCCGGCTCTCCATCGACTGGGGAGAAGCCTTCAGCAAGCCACTGCTGACACCCTATGAGGTGAGCACCCCTCTCCATTTTGGGGGGACAGTCCTGGCTTGGGGTGATGCACCAGAGCAGGCTTGGGGATGTCCCTGCGTCAGACAGCGTCCCCTCCTCTCTCCATCTGTGTGCTCTGTACGCAGTCCAGGCATGCGTATGGGATATCCAATCTTTTGTGAAACCTGTGGGATTCCCAGTGCCTCGAGCTTTGCCCTCAGCACACCAAGCTGGATGCTGGGACCTCTCCCAGCACCACCAGCTCCCCCTCCGTGGGCGCCGCTCGGGGACTCATCCCCGATCCTCTCCACAGGCTGCGGTGGCTCTCCAGGACATCGAGTGGCAGCAGCCTTATCCCATGGATTTCTATGCCAGCCAGTCCCTGGGGCCGTGGACGGTGAACCACGGTGGCACACAGCCCCCGCGCGGGGGGCGGCCGGCACAGGTGGGCAGCGGGGTGTCACCGAGTCCCCGCTGGGTCCGTCGGGCCGGTGAGAGCACCGGGGAGGGCTGAGCACCGGCTGCCGCTCGGTGCCCGGTGCCGCGTACCAAAAGCGCCACCCCGTGGTGTCGCTGCCATCGAACAGTAACGGGGACAGCGCCAGCCCGGCCCGGGGGAGGGACACGCGGATCCCCCCAGCCCTGCTCGGGGTGAG